GAGAAGATCAGGTTCAAGACTACCTGAGGAAGATGAACATGCACGAGTCTATGGGACCTGATGAGATGCATCCCAGAGTCCTGAGGGAACTGGATGCTGTAGGTGCCAAGCCACTAAGGGAAACATTGCACCCATTTTTAAAAGGGTAGCAAGGAGGACCCTGGGAACTACTGACCTGTCAGCATTACCTCTGTGCCTGGGAAGATCATGGAACAGATCCTCCCAGAAGCTATGCTAAGGTACATGGAGGACAAGGAGGTGATTCGAGACAGCCAGCATGGCTTCACCAAAGGCAACTCCTGCCTGACCAACCTAGTGGCCTTCTGTGATGGAGTGACCACATCAGTGGACAAGGGAAGAGCTACCGATGTCATCTATCTGGACTTCTGTAGGGCCTTTGACAAGGTCCTCCACAACATCCTTCTCTCTAAATTGGAGAGATAGGGATTTGATGGAGGGACTGTTGGGTGGATGAGGAATTAGCTGAATGGTCGCATCGAGAGGGTAGTGGTCAGTGGCTCAATGTCCAGATGGAGATCAGTGATGAGTGGTATCCCTCAGGGGTCCATACTGGGACCAGTACTCTTTAATATCTTCATCAATGACATAGTGGGATTGAGTGCACCCTCAGCAAGTTTCCAGATGACACCAAGCTGAGTGGTGGGCTTGACACACCGGAGGGATGGGATGACATCCAGAGGGACCTGGACAAACTCAAGGAATGGGCCTCTGTGAACCTCATGAGATTCAACAAAGCCAAGTGCAGGGTCCTGCACCTGGCTTAGGGCAACCTCTGGTATCAGTACAGGCTGAGGGATGAAGGGATTGAGAGGGATTGAGGACCAGCAGGTCGAGGGAGGTGATTCTGCCCCCTCAGCTCTGGTGAGATCCCACCTGGAGTCATGTGTCCAGCTCTGGAGCCCTCAGCACAGGCAAGACACGGACCTGTTGGAGTATGTCTAGAGGAGGGCCACCAAAATGATGAGAGGGCTGGAGCAGCTCTTCTGTGAGGGAAGGCTGAGAGAGTTGGAGTTGTTCAGCCTGGAGAAGAGAAGGCTCCAGGGAGACCTTACTGTGTCCTTCCAGTACTTAAAGGGGGCTTTTAAGAAAGATGGGGACAGGCTTTTTGGGAGGGCCTGTAGCAACAGGACAGGGTTAATGGTTTTAACTGAAAGAGGGTAGATTTAGACTAGACCTAGGGAAGAAATTTTTGCCAATGAGGGTGGTGAACCACTGGCCCAGGTTGCCCAGAGAGGTGGTAGATGCCCCATCCCTGGAAACATTCCAGGTCAGGTTGGATGGGGCTCTGAGAGACTTGATTTAGTTGATGATGTCCCTGCTCATGGAAGGGGATTTGGACTAGATGACCTTTAAAGGTCCCTTCCAACCCAAACTATTCTATGATTCTATGAGAAACTGCTAAGAATTTTCTGTTATAGTTTCTTAATTATATAAATGGTCAAAAATAGAAAACTTACTCTGAAGGCAGTTCTAATTTCCTTTTATAGATTAAACATTTAATCCTGCAGTACTGGAAAGTATTAATGTTTCTGGTTAATTCTTTTTAACAGTTTAACAATTTTCTTTTTCAGGTCGGAAGTTAAAAAAACTAAACAAAATTAAGGTTGTGAGAACATTAGATGTCGCACTCCAGCAGCCAGCAAGCCTTCAAGATGAAAGCCAATCTCTAACCCAAAGGCTGTCCTTTTCTCCAAATCAAGAAATACAGTTTGTTCCCCCAATGATAAGTGTTCTACGAGGCATTGAGCCAGAAGTTGTCTATGCTGGTTATGACAATACAAAACCTGAAACACCAAGTTCCTTGCTGACCAGTCTAAATCATCTTTGTGAGAGGCAACTTCTTTGTGTAGTCAAGTGGTCAAAATTGTTACCAGGTAATAGCACTTCTTATATGTAGTGAATTCTAGGCTAGCTATTATGTCATGGGATGAGCAGTCAAAAGAGAATATTCTTGTCTGCCTGTTAATTAATTCTTAACAAATTCTAAAATTATTAGCCTTCCACTTCATGCACCAATCAAGTACATTTTAATAGGCGGATGCTCTTAAAGGAATGCATCTAAATACTTAGACTCACTCCAAAAAACAACAGAAGCCCAGAGAGTTCATTATAGCAGCCTTTCCACCCTAACCTCTCCTACTCTATTATTCATTCTTTTGCTATGAAAAACTGTTTCTATTTCTGTGTATCCCTTTATTCTTATTAAAAAGAATTTTTGAAAGGAACAGAGAAAAATTGTAATAAATATTACCAGTTAGGACTAAGCAGCTCACAAATAGACTGGTAATGAGAAGTAACTGAATTTATGAAGATCCGAGACAGGGTTAAAAAAAAAATCCGTATTATATATGTACATGTGCTGTATGGTCATAGGAGCCTGATCCTGGGATATATAAAAATCAATATATAGACCAGAAATCCTGGAAATACAGTTTCATGTGAACTCAATTTGACATTTCAGTGCTGCAGGAAAGGGTAGTCCCTGTCGCTGCTCTTCCCCATTGCTGCTTGTGCTTGTCAGACCTTTTGGTTGAACAGATTCATCTCATCAAGTGAGAAGAAAACAACCCTTTGGTTTTTTACCCTCTGTAGTTTTCTGTTGGCTTCATGAGGTGAACCAGTTCACTGAGGGGTGGCATGAATGCCAGAGCTTGCTTGAAGGAGGTAACAGGACCATGTAATGAATAACAGGACCACTGCTTTCAGTGGCAGGAAGCTGTTAGATTGACTCAAATACTTCCTAGCAAACTTCAAAGTTATCAAAGAGCAAAAGTTATTGAAGGCAAACACACTTCTTGTTAGTAAAATGCAAGAAAGATACTCGTATGTGGATGTTTATTGTATTACAAATGTATCTCTTGTTAAGAACACTGAAGTCCAAACTAGCTATGTTAAATAAGAGGTGGTTACAGTGATCACATTACAACCTGTCATATTTTTACCAAAGGAAAATGAGATGCATTCCTATTTCCTGGAGTAGTCACTTCTGACTGCTAAAGTTAACTTTGGTTTGATTGTTTCAAAATATTGGATCAGAACAAAAAGACAAGAGGTTAACTGTCAGTTATTATGCAAACTTCACAAAGAGAGCTACATCCCCAAAAGCACTTGTCTTTCTAGGTGTTCTCAGTTTCATAGCTCAAAATCGTAATCTCAGAACACCAACTGAAGCTGTTGTCTAAATGAGAATTATAAAGTATTTTAACTTTTTATTTCATTTCCAGGATTTCGGAATTTACATATTGATGATCAGATAACCCTTATCCAGTATTCCTGGATGAGTCTAATGGTTTTTGCAATGGGATGGAGATCATACAAACATGTCAGTGGTCAGATGTTATATTTTGCACCAGATCTGATTCTAAATGAGTAAGTAGACTGCTGTTGCATAATATGAATGACATTTTGAATTTATTTGTGTCAATGAAAAAGTTACTTCATTGAGGCCAAGATTTCATTCATTACTTGTTCTGTTTCAAAATTAACAGCATATGAAAGTCCTCTGCTCATATTAAAGTTCGCTAACTTTGGGAAGGGTTTGGTGGGAATCCCAAATATTCTGTTGACATGGCCAAACAAAAGGAGTTCAAATAATATTTTAATTATCTAAGAGAAAAATAAAGGAAAAGAATGATGCTGTCAGAAGATTTGCCTGAATTCATCTGAGTAAGACATGAGTTAATGCTTAATAAATGGAACTAAGTAGGATTTTCTTTCGTCGTTGTTGTTTGGGTGGTTTTTGCAAACAGTTTATCTCTATTAGTATATAGTTTTGACACTTTCTGATAAAACTCTGCTTTTCTAAAGTACATTTATTGTTAGAAAATTGTAATAATTTAGCAAGAAGGAATTTTAATATCAAGGATAAAATATGACAGACTGTTATTTTCTGGTTGGGGGGAGGATTGTTGGCTTAGATTTTCCTTCACTATGCTGATGAATTCAGATAATCTTCATTTCAGTCTTTGTCAGTTTTTCAGCTCTGCAAATTAATATTATCAAAGTGATAATTTTAAATACTTTGGTAATAATACATGGGTGGCTTCCAGGAACAGTAAAACATAATTTAATCTCCCTATTTATTTTTCCTTAACACATTTTCCTTAGTTATTTTTGCTCAAAATCCTAAAAGAACTACTATGAAGTGAGATGAAATTTAAACAGGTTATCTTGTAAGACGTATCTATTTAAGGATTAAGAAGTGGATTTGCAGAAGATCTAGGCACCTGAATTTAAAATCTATAGACATGCAGGTTCTTGCCAGTGAAGTTCTCTACAGAAGGTATTCTGTGGAGCTGGCCCTGTATCTCCTGACCTTTTCTCTTCCAGATGACTGTAAATCACTGTGAGATCATAGAGTAATGAATTCTTTCCTCTCCCATGTGTATTAATTTTGCTGTACAAATTTAAATACTTTGAAGGGATGAGTTTGAGAGAGCTTCTGACTGTATTCTTTCCCACCATAGTTTGTGATATATCTTATGGTTGCATTCAGAAGAAACAGAGTGAGATGGCTTTAGGCAGTAGGGTCATGTCTTGGGGTTTACCATGTATGTGGACCACTGCTGCCACCTTCTGAAGAAGACTTTCTTCAAGAATAGGGTTGAGATTTATGAATCCTGATTATAATCCCTGAGAGACAGCTTCTTGTTTGTAGCGTAAGACCTTCCACATTGAGAAAGAGGTAGACTGACAACATACCCTTCTCTTGGTTATAGAAGATCTCAGGGTCATGTTAGAAACTTTATAAACAAAGAGTTAGACATGAAAATTTATTGGCACACTAAATCATCTGCAACTATTTATTGGGAAATAAGTCAGCTTTTAGATCAGTAAAATGTCTACAATAACGTCTAAGATTGTACTTTCATGATCACTTTAAGCAAAGATAAGTGCTGAACAGAGAAAAAAAAGTCAACTCCAGCTGCCCCCCTGCCCTGGCCATGCATCCCCAGGCTTTCACTTAAACTGGATCAAACGCTATCTGGCTGCACTGTCAAATGGATAAGGAAATTATATGCTGGAGAAATACCCCAGAAAAAGGCATTAGTTAGCAGATGGAGGTGATCCCTGATCTGACTCACCATGTGGACATGCAGGCACCGATGCCAGAACAGCAGGAGTGCACACCTAGGGGTGGAAAAAGATAATGGAAATTCCTTCTACAGGGGCAACACACACTTGAGTTGTTTCAAAATGACCATGAAACCACAATCAAAAGATTGTTTAACAGCTAATCTGTCATTTAGTGAACTGAGTTGTAGTGCTCCTTGGGAATGACTTGTTTGGTAGCATCAATTTCAGACCAATAAAACCAGAAGTGTTAATTTGACAATGATTTCATGAATTACAATTAAAACTCTACAAAGACTTACTGTTATACTTTGCAGTGTATGAAAACATGACTAAGAAAAATATTTAAGCGTACCCTGAAAGCTGCTGTCACCCTTCATAGTTACCACATAGGAACAGAGACTACCAGAAAGGAATAGGCAGGGAGACTTAAAGTGGCTATAGGAAGTAACCAGTTCTTTCATATCTAACACATTAAATTTCTATGTTTAAGTCACTTAAGAGCTGGTGTGAGATACCAGATGTTGAACAAAGCTGAAATAATTCTCATTTAAAATAACAGTAACACTTTAAATAACAGAAGAAAAAAACTCAATGCATTGAGAGAAGTCCTTTATTCACAAAAAATATCTTCTGTTTTCATTGTTGATGGTACTATTTGCAGTCAGATTGGAACACTGATCTGAACGTTGTAAAGGATATGGGCACAATTTAATCTTCTTGTTGTTGTACCTAATTCATCTGGATCTGGATGCAGCTTTGTAAAATAAGTCCATGATACTGGATCTGCACATTAATGTACAATGAATTCAGTTTAGTTTACAATCTTTGAAATGCTATTGTTGCAGTAATTTCAGTTGAAAATTGCCTTCCCAATAAATACATGCGATAAAATATACTCAGTATACCAAAGTCTTAAAGGGAAAAGTAAGATTGAAGTGCTCCAAAAAACCACACAGTTTTATATATTTCCTTGTGTGATTTGACCTATTTACTTCTGCAGGAGTTTAGATAAGGCTGTATTAATGTCTATGTTTGCTTAAATACTTTTTGTATATATTTATCTTTAACATTTTTGACTGTTTCTTTAATGGCATAAAATGCAACAAAATAGTATCTTGGCTGCTAGCTGTACAGCGTTAGACTTGCAACAAGGTATTGTGATGCAGACCTTTTTGGCAAACCTAAGAACAAGTTTTCTAAACTTCCAAGTTTATCTTCAATTTTGTGCCTTGAAATCTGTTCAGAGAATGTAAAAAACTATCAACCTCTAAAAGAAAAAGAAAGTACTTCACATTAATTATTAGGGTGTTTATGATTAATAAAAAACTTTTTTTTCTGTGGTTAGCATTCAGCTTTGATAGTCTCCAGGTCTTTCTTCTGGGCAGCAGTAACAGATTCAACATCCAAAATAATAGCACACTCATTACGATTAAAAAACTAGTGTATGTACAAAAAATTCAGAAAATTGTTCATGTGTATAACCTCTTTCTTTGATTTCTGTAATGTGGTAATTAAACTATTAACAAGGCTGTTCCTTCAAGTAAGTAGTACTGGATCTGTTGCTTTTCTTTATTTTCATGTCTCTTTTTTTTTTTTTTTTTTTTTACTTTTCTGGGTGTAAGACAGAGGATGAAAGAATCATCGTTCTATTCCCTGTGTCTATCCATGTGGCAACTCCCACAGGAATTTGTCAGACTTCAAGTTAGCCAAGAAGAGTTCCTATGCATGAAAGCACTGTTACTTCTCAACACAAGTAGGTTCTTTTATTTTTTTGTAACATATCACTAGTAAAAGAGTTTTGAGCCATGTTGTTTAACTTGACAATTGCTAAGCTCCCTGGCTTAACAAATGGAAACTTCTTTAGGAGGAATGTTAGTATTCCAAGACCTAAAAATATTTTTTCTAGTGTTTATAAGGAGCAAACACTTTGTGATTCATTGTTGGTTTTATTCTGTAAAAAGGCACTGGGGAAATGTTGGATCCCTTTTGATATATAGCTATGCTGTATTACACATTTTCAAATCAAGTGTGCAGTATTTCTGCCTGGAAGCTCTTCAGCTTAAATGACTCTGCACAGATGAAAAAAGATGTACAAGCATTAGAATTATATTTTAAAATATTTAATAAATTGTCAGGACTGAGGGCTTTATCTTGGCCAAGAACTTAAAGCATGCTTACTCAAAAGAATTAGGGAAGTGGACATGGCAAACAATACTAACATTTATTCAACTTTTTATAGTTATAAAAAGGTCAAGTTTAGTATGGATATAAACAAATGGAAGTGTTTTTCTTTGCTTTGTTTCTCTAAAACAAAATTCGTGGTCACTTTTAGTCATATGCATCTTTTAAAGAATCCAGCATACAGCTGCATTCCACTTTAAATGGGAAGTGTGGTAGTTGATGAAGTTATCTTCCAAAACTTTTTCTAAAATACTAAAACATACATCTGTTGAGGCCGTAATTGTTAGTTATGAATCCACAGATAGAAAGTTTTCAAATGGTACAGGTGCTATTAGAAATGAGAATAAGCATCTCCGAGAAATGTAATTGGAAGAATGTTGAAGTTTGATTCTCTGCACACTTACAGAGTCAGAGGAGAGATGTGCAAATCCTGTATAACCTGCTTGTTGTTTGTACAAACTTTCAGTAAAAGACAAGGAACTAAAATTTATTCCCTCTTAAGCTGTACTTGGCTGGTATTTGCATAAGTTCATGCTTAAAAAAAACTTGGTCTCAGCAAAGCATAAGCAGTTAAAGACTGAATTTAGCTCATATCAACATAAAAATTGCTAACCTGATAGCAAAATGCCATACAATCTGCTAAAGCAATGAAAATAGTGTGGACTAAAATCCCTCTCTGATACGACTCTGGTTGTTTTGTTGGAATTTGAATGCGATTGAATTCATCAAATGAATGTCGATTTTAAATGTTTTCCACCTCATTTTAATCACAAAATTAACTCCCTTGTATATCTGAACCTTAGAGGGAAGTTTTACATTTCAGTGAAATTTAGATACATCTGTGATATTCCAGCTCTCCATAGATGTCCCATGAAGTTCAAATCAAATTCAAACAAACGTTGCAATGGTCCAATCCCTCTCATTTACAAGTGCATCAGTTTAAGAGTATTCATCAGGCTACCATTCTTTATCAACTGCATTGCCCTCAGAAACCCGTTTTTAAGATTACATGTTTATATATATGCAAAAAATTAGTTAAAAAAAGAAGTAAGTATTTCTACCTGTGATGATGAGTTTTGCTTTTTGTTCTCTCCTACACTTATTGTCTTATAGGAAAAAACAATTTGTCAGATCTTTGGGAAAAGGAACACACCTAACCGCTGTTGCTGAGACATTTAGTAAACATTTGGTACTGTATAAATATAATTCCACAAAACTATTTTCAAAAAACCATATAACCTTATTGTAGCTATAAAGTATTTTTTAAGACTACTTTTATTTTAGTCATGGTATCATCTTAATCCTCTTCAAATGTGAAACTATGGCCATTTGAAACTTTCATGTACTAACAGTAAATCAAGTCTGAGTTCAGTCTTTCAGGTTAGTCTCTCATTCTGTCTTCTGTTTGACCTATTATTTAGATGAACGGTTTTTTACTTTCAATATAATTTCAAAGAAACAGTAATTTGTATTAAACATAATGTCAGTCTCAATACATTTCTAATTCTGAATGGAAACCCCAGCCTAAGTTTTAACATTATTTTTGATTTTATAGTTTTTCCATTGAGTTTGCTGTCACTTAGATGTTTTCTTTATATTGTACTTGTGACAGTTTTAAAGCTGTCCTGAAAGCAGAATTAGTTTTTGCAAAAAGTGGACCAACATTTTTATTTTCTGCAATTATTTCCATTTTACAGGTCCTTATTTACGATATGCTGTGTTGTAGTAGTGCCTCAGAAGTTCAAAATAGGTCTTCATCTTGCAGAGGCTACATATATGTAGGAAGTAATACTATGAATAGTTCAGAAAGACTATGATTTAAGAAACAAGACCTATGTCAAAAAAGAGAGAAATAAGCATATAGCAAGTTCATTTCTAGCTCTAACACTTTCCAGACTTTTGATTTAGAGCAATTGCAAAATCTTGTTGCATAAGATTTTGGCTGGGTTCTTGTGACTGAATAAAAGCATCCGCATTCTTTACATATGTTCAGGGGAAGGAACATTTGAGCTACCTGTGTTTAAATTGTATTTGTGCATGTAAGACATTGCAATTCTTCACTCAAATAAATAGCTTAGTGGAACTTTTTGTGATTAGACAGGAACGTGACTGCTTTTGCAGAATTCTGAGAAACAGGCCATGCATTGCTGGAAGAGATCTTTTTACTTAATTCCCAAGAGAAATGTAAGGACTTAACTGCTGTTTTAGAGACGTAAGTCAAAGAAAGCACCCACCTAACCCTAAGTTCCATCAGAATGTCACTTTATATGAAAAAGATTTCATAGGTGGCTGTAATTCTGCTGTTAGACATACCAAGAACCATGCCGTCTGAAAATTGAGCAATTCTTTTTCCATGACATAACTTCTCCCCACTGTGAGTATTACTCCTAAGCACATTGCATTCTGCACAAAAAAACAGAATCATTAAGGTTGGAAAAGACCTTTAAGATCATCAAGTCCAACCATCAACCCAACACCACCATGCCCACTAAACCATGTCCTGAAGTGCCACGTCCACACATTTTTTGAACGCTTCCAGTGATGGTGACTCCACCACCTCCCTGGGCAGCCTGTTCCGATGTTTGATCACTCTCTCTGTAAAGAAATTTCCCCTCATATCTAGTCTAAACAGAACTCTTCTGTTCCATTCAGACCCTTGACGCAGATGTGACAGGCACACGCTCAGATATCTGCTTTGTCTGGACTTGAGAGGCTGTATTGAGTCAAACCAAAAGTCCACCTCATCCAGCATTTTATCTCCATCAGCTGCCAAAGAAATCTAACATGGCATCCCTAAAAGCTGGACTATTATTAAATATGGTGTTACAAACGTACTTTCTGTGGAAGTGAATTCTGTTTTAGTTAAGAGTCAGACCCTGACTTCTATCGCCATCTCAGTGCTTAGACACTTGTCTTTAAAGTTAACTTGCTGTTTTCTGTATGTGAGTTTCCCTCCTTCCCCCAGACATTCAGTTGTCTGAGGAGACAGAGACCACACACACATCCTTGGCAAACTGGATCCTTTCCTCTCTTGAACAGTCTCCTATGAAATAGGAGACTTCTGCTTAGCTCAAGTAGAGCAGAGATTTGAACTTCTGCTTTGTTATCTCTCTGTGGGCTGGAGGTGAGGGACATTTAATCTGTTTACCTGCAGTGTCTCCTTCCCCCTTACCTTATTCTAAAGAACCAGGCATTACTTAGGCTTAGACTTCAGAACAGGGTTTATGATTTCCAAGTGGAGAGCAGTGCTTCTCTCAGTGCAGGGTTTGATACCTAATTTTCTTTTAGGGGATGGGTTTAGGTCCAACCCCTGTGCAGCCATCTGCTTTTTAGCTGGCTTTTATTTTAAGAATTCCATTCTTAGGTATCTAGCAATACAGTGCATTGTACAGAGAGACAGCACATGCATATATTTATGTTTTAATTCCAGAAAGTGACAAATCACTTGGAAGTTAGGTGTTAGAGTGTCTAATAAGTCAATGTCATTATGAACGAAGATTGATTTTTTTTTTTTTTTTTTTTTTTAAAGAAATGAGAATGAAATCTGTTGTGGCCTGATACCAGTTGTGGTCTGATACCAGACTGAAGATGTACTAGATACCGAGATAACTAGCATGCTATTTATTTAACTATGTGAGCTAGTCCCCATGACATTCTTTTAGAGTCCGTGGAGACAAATAAACATCTCTACAGCGTAGTTCATCTCTTTCTAAAGCTACTTTTAAAATGGTGAACATGCTTTGTGCCCAAGACTTGCCTGATTTTTCCCACTAAAACTACAGCAAGCTGTGGTAACTAGCCCAGATGGAGATGCCTATACTGTAACATGTCTAAAGTTTGGTGAGGTGAATCCTTCCTCTCATGCTTGCTGTCAGAATACAAAATGTTGAATGTGATGTTTCAGTGTGAAATGTCATTGGCAAGAGAGAAAGGAAAGGGGAAGAAATTTAACAGCTCTTTCAAAAACAGTATGTTTGAAACAAGACCACGTCTTAATGTATGATTATTATAGCGACACAAGGATTTAGATTTGATTGCCAGATGGGAATATTTTTTCAAGTTTCATTTCTTCCAGTTTTTAATTTCTTAGTTGTCTTTGGCAACATAAATTGTAAGACACTTGTATTACGCTCTGCCACATCAAGGAAAGTAGAGTCTAGAGCTTACACCTGTTTCCTTGTAATGCTACCAACATTTATCATCAGTGATCAAACGTGATCTTATCACCAGCAGTCATCAACAGGTTCATTTCTCAGTGTTCTCTCTGTGTCCTCATTTTGGTCCTCACAAATGACCATTAAGAGAAGAGTAAGTAGGTAAGTTCAACAATTTGCTCCTCTCTGCTAATTTCTCTAAAAGCTGTTCACATTCAAGACTTTGATAGTGCATCTATTCTGTTAAGTGAAAGAGGTCCAAACAGGAGGCTTGAGCCCTGGACACTTTGTTGTCTATGCTACTTAGGAGCTGCTAGTTCACTCCTTGACTCCATTTTGAAGCACTCCAGCTAGATCTCTCTAACATAAACCTACTGTGAAGCAGGCTGACCCTTAGCAGTGTAAACATGAGCCAGTCCGTAACATCTTTCCTCAAGGACAGGAGTGGTTCTTTTGTCCATCTTCTTTTCAGCAGACAGGTGTAGCTGAAGCTTAAGACTATTTCTAGGCACCAGCAATTAGCACAACTGACTGATTGTTGCTGGTATATCCTTTAGCTAATTGTATCACTTTTTCAAGAGTAACTGTTGAACAGGAAGAAGTACCTGGCGTATAATAATGAATCGCACTGCACAGCGTGAAATACTGTAAATTGTTCCTGTACTTTAAATTTCTCTCATTTCCTCTAGAATAAATTGCAACACCAATGTTACTTTCTTTTTAGTACCCTTGGAAGGTCTAAGAAGTCAAAGCCAATTTGATGAGATGAGAACGAGTTACATTAGAGAACTAGTGAAGGCAATTGGATTGCGCCAGAAAGGCGTTGTGGCCAACTCGCAACGTTTCTATCAACTTACGAAACTGATGGATTCCATGCATGATGTAAGTTTACTTGTTAATGTGTTTTGCTTTTTATGTAAGAAGGGACTAGTATTTCTTCAAACTAATTTTATGGAAAGTGGCTAGTCAGCATGTCTAAACAACAAAAGAAAAACTCCTACATTTGTCCTTTAGTGTGCATATTTGTGTGAATAGATAGCTATATATTCAGCATCAATATCTATTATGTGGTATACAAGATTTAAGTATTTGGGAAACATGCATTTGATTGCTACCATTTTGTTTCATTATTTCTGTAACGTAACTAGTTCATTTACGGTTTTTGGTAGGGGTGGCGTATCTGTGTCTGCGTGTGTCTACATCTTCAGGAAAATATATAAATAATGCAAAGAACAGGCAATTGAAGTTGCAAAGTCAGTCTACTAAGAATTAGAGGAAGACAACTGAGACTTGTTTTGCAACCTTAATTCAACTACTTTTATGTGTGTATTCTATGCCATTTTTTCCATATCTGTCTATATTTGGGAACTGAGGAATCTTAAAGAACTCTACTGGTGATATCATAGAGAGTCATAAGTGTCTTAAAAGATGCAGCTGAATCCTTTCCACACCTCTGACAATCCAGCATGTATCCTGTTGTCTTATCATCCATTAAAACTGAGGAATGACATTTCATATACACCTTTGCCCATGTGAATATTGTTTTGTAATGGCTTGTGTATCTCTGCAAGGGAGGCAAAAAGCAGAGGTACAGGGCCATACCTGTTGCTTATAGCAAGGGCTGGGGAAGTGGCACTAAGATAGTTTAGGAAAAGTGCTTTTGAGTTCTTAGAATCATAGAATAGTTTGGGTTGGAAGGGACTGTTAAAGGTCATCTCTAGCCCTAGACATTCAACTAGATCAGGTTGCTCAGGGCCCCGTCCAACCTGACTTTGCAACAGCTGAACCAGCAGTTCAGTGCTGGTTGTGAGGAGCTCACAGGGAGTTCAGGGAAGGATGGGGTCTTTGCATGTTTGTATTCTTCTGCACTCAGCAAATCTGCATTTTATTTTAATTATTCTTGAATAAATTATTTTATTCATCTGAAAACTTTCATTGTCACTAATTCACCCTTCTGAAGGGAAAAAAAACAACCTTTGAGGGTCCCATTTATGGGAGTTAAGAGAGGTAACAATATTGATAATTATGTGGTTCACCAGGTGGTCTGGAGTCTTTTGATCCACTGCACAAACCTCTCCATCAGCTTCTGCTAATCTACAGAACTCACATTCATCATTTAGCTATTACATCATCTCAGATACCGGCAAAAGAAGAACAAGACAAGTACGAAAAGCATCCTTGCAGGTGAAGGTAGACAATAGGAAATTCTGAAAGGAGACTATAGAGCTTAAAGTATTTACTGGTAGGGAGACTGCAGTCGTCACTTGGGATTGTCAGTGCTAAACCCTTCCCTGGAGTTCAGTCAGTCACCTTTTACTTGCAAAAACAAGTCCGGGCCAGTATACTGCTCACGGTTGCCCTGTGCTCAAGGAACCTGTTTGGATCAGTCTTGCTTGGGATAAAAGGTCTTCTTGCCTTACCTGTAGTAATAATTTGCAATCTGAGTGTCACAGCATCCAGAAGAAAACTCTTTTGAGTACTGGTCAGTAGAGTCAATCTCTTAATTTCAAATACTTAAAGTAAAATACCCACAGTGGAAGTGAGTGAGTGAGGCTTGCTGCAAAATATCCAGCAAAGTAACGGTTAGGGTTGTGTTTCATCTGTAGAGTATCTTCGTTCAAGTCCCTATTTCAGCTCAGACCAATAAAGTCATGGGAGATAGAAGGAAAAGATAATCACACTGGAGAGACTGTGTGTTGTTAAGGCCTAAAGTAGCAGAACTAGTATGATATTTGATAACATAAAGGTCACAAGTCTCAACAAAAGCCTTCTATAAAAATTGGATCTTCTCAGAGAGAAGAGGTGAAATAGTCACATATATTGAGCAGTTGCTTTCAGGGGATGAGGACCTATGGAGTTTAATGTTTGCGGCATACTCAGATATGATCCTAATCAGACCCATGGAAGGTTCTGATTATGGAAATAGTAAGAAAATATACCAGGAAATCGTAAATGCTGATCCTCGGAGCAGTGTTTGAATAGCATATAGTAAACAAGGCATTCAGACGTGTGTTGAATGTGAGGATAAAGTGAAAGATTGGATACTCGTTTAGTAATTGCCGTTGTTCATGGTGCATGCCGTGAGTGAGGATGATAACACTTTATAATATTAGTGAGGCACTGGTTTTATATGACATACCATTTAGTGATATTTATGGCTTTTTGCTGTGGGAGGATATTTGAATACAGAATGACAAGTACCCACATTATTGATTCAAGGGATGACAGAGGAAGGTATATAATGATGCCAGCTGAGAGATGTGTGAGATAAGTGATTGACAGCATGTTTATCTGGCTGTATGACTGTTAGCCTGATTTATCATGTTTGTATTTTATTAAATCCAGCTAGTGAAACAGCTTCATCTCTTCTGTCTGAACACATTTCTCCAGTCCCGTGCGCTGAGTGTTGAATTCCCCGAGATGATGTCAGAGGTGATTGCTGCCCAGCTACCCAAGATTCTGGCAGGGATGGTGAAACCTCTTCTCTTTCACAAAAAGTGAAGTGTCTTTTCTCTTATCATAGAGATGATTTCTGGGTCATTTTTTGCTTGTTTATTTTGGTCAAGATTTTGCAATGTCAGGACTTCAGTATATTTGTCATACTTACCCCGCCTACTGCTTTATACTTGTAAGATACACAAGCCATTTAAGCTTGATGTACATAGTGTGAGTTCCTGATTCCTTAACTACAAAAATCACAACAGTCATAAGAAATGGTTTTGTAAACTTGGCTAGGTTGCTTTTTAGATACGCATAAGAATGACAATGAGTAGAGTTTTCAGATTTCTAAGAGCAGTTATCTTATACATTTTTCTTATATTCATATTACATGCTCTCAAATTTCTCATATGACATGATGTAAACTTTTTACTTTAGTACATTGTGTGCATGGGTACATGTGGGCATGTGCGTAATACAAGATTTTGGAGGAATTAAAATAAACATTGCCCACATTTTTCTCGTAGATATTTCACTTTTTATTAATTAATCTGCCTCACAGAAACATCCTTTCAAAGTCGGCTGTCCAGGATTAAGTAGACATCACTGCAATACCTTCATGAGTAAATAAAGCGCTAGGCACAAAATACACATTCATATTCTTGTCTGTGCTTGTACTGCATTGAAGCTCTGAGTTCAGGGTACTGAACTGTACTGCACCACTCAGTGCAGCTTTCCTTCGAAAACTGGAAAGCTTAGGAAAATTTCACTGTATATTACACCAGAAGTAATGTGTGTGTAAACCCACTCAGCTTTGATTTGTGTTATTTTCCTTAAAAGTTCAGCACTTAGTAAAGCTAAATCACTCAGCTATAATCTTAAATTCATTGACTTTAACATTCTGTATTTCAGAAGCTTTAAATGGAGATGTTTTGACTGACTACAACTCTTAATGTTTTGAATTGCAATGCTTGAATAATTGAACAGCCATTAACATCAAATTATGGCGAGATTAAATGCAAAAAGAAATGGAAAATATGACTACAAACATTTTGATACACATCATTTCACTACTATTTAGTGGAGCTACATATTTTATATTTTAAAGACATGCCATTATAAGTGGGGTAACTAAAAGAGGAATTGGACTAAATTAGCTTTATATGTTCAAGAAGAATGTCATGTTTTATCATGGAAATGAAATGTTTGACTGAAAAATTCTAATGTGGTGGTGTTTGTTCCTTTGATGTGAATATGAAGCTACTCAAGCATTTAAGGCAGTAAATTGTTGATACATTCAAACAACAGAGAAATGGATAAAGCCCAAGGAAAATTTATGAGTCTATTAAGATATGACAAAATTTGCCAGTCACCAAAAATGATACTCAGATTCTCTAACAATGTAGGAAAGTGGTGAATCTTACTTGGGTACTTGCTGGCCATAAGCTTTTGCTCTTCCCCATTACATCACGTGATAGCATACTGCTGATGGTGTAACTTCATCTGTATCCTTGTCACGTGAACAAAGGCTCGCTGGACATAAGTTCAGTACCCCTGGTTAAATTAGGGTGCCCCTCATTAAAAGTATAACTGATGTTACTTCTTCATAACAATTGCATCCTAATTCTTGAAACATATGTGGACAACTAAAGACAGGTCTAAATTTCCTGCAGCATAGATAAAAAAGAAATCTAGAATTTCCTAAAGCCAATCAGGAAGAAGCTACGTTATGATTGGGGATAAAAACGTTTTTGAGATTCCCACATAGCAGTACAAAACCCACTAGAGTTAGTGCAAAGATGCACTCTTCTGTGTTAGTTGACTAGATTCATCATTTCTAACTGCCCAGAGACAAGTAATTTTTTTCACATTCAATACAGTCTGACTTTTAACTGTGATCCTTAAGGCAATTATGTTTTAATAAATAACACAAAATTCTTTATTTCTACATATTGAAGTTTTGTTTTCTTTATTTTTCTTTGTATTTGCATTGAGTAATTGTGGAGCTTAGTAAAGAAGTCCATTTCAACCATTCCACTTTTGTGTAACAACAATATTTTCATGCATTCTTTGGGAATTTAAGCATTGCCACATGATTTACCATTGAATAAACAGACTGTCTATGTTACTGTTTAGATTAAACTGTTAACAGAAACTTTCCACACTAAAAATTATTCCTTGACAACCTAATTCTGAAATTGGAAAACAGAGCAGGCAGGATGCTTGCCTTAGGAATGCCCCAGATCAGCCTACATCTGCCTTTTACTCAGTCCCTAAAATCTGTTGAAGTGTCTGCCATGTCACCGTGTCCCATAAATATGGCAGATTAGTCTGAAGTGCTCTGTATTTGTCTCAAAGGCATAATCAAAAAGGAAGAACAGATGTCTTTTGGGAATAGATAACAAAGGTTAAAAACATTTTCAACTTGTGTTTCTTTAAGATCTCTAACTCACAAAAAAAATTCCCAGAACTTCATGGGTCATGATAAATGCACTACCATAAGACAGAACAAATTTGGCTAAATGTGGCTGCTATATTAATTTGGAAGTCCTGATTATCTGAGGTTAGAAAAAAACTGTTTTAATTTGAGAACTTCCAGCTTTGAGCCCAGTTTATAAAATTGCCTTTAGTCTCCATTTTGATACTTGCATTTGCTCCTTTTATAACACAGACACCATGAACATGATCAAAACACAAGATTGCTTCCTTCCTTATAGAAGTCTCTTGCACTGTGACTTTTCAACACTGCAGCAATGTCCAGAGAGCCACCAGCAAACTATTTTTTTCTTTAAGTTTTTCAGAGAGGCTGAGGCTTCTTAGTTGTATGTATTTCTCTGCATTAATATTTGTTTAAAGATTAAGGTATTTTTTGACCTGAGCTTTACAAATAAATAGGTCCAAATAAAACATCTTTTAAGTGCTTCTCAATGTAGTGAACAAGGCATAACAATGCTGGATCTTCTTAAGTTGCATTTTGCATACTAGAAAATAAGAGGTTTTGGCAGATGGACTTCTTTGTTTTCTGACATCGATGATGTGCCTGATTACATTTGGAAGGTATGAGACCTCTTGTGCTAATTAGAATGCTTCCCATCTTCTGCAGATTGCAGACATAGTTCTTCATCTTACACTAAATAATGCAAGCTATGCCTGAAGCTAAGCCTCTCATATTCTGTACAATTTAGGTATTTTGAAGCTAAACCTCTTGTATTCTGTACAGTTTAGGTATTTTTGACCTAAGGCTTTTATCATTGCCTTCTGCTAGTACTTCAGTGAAGCAAACAAAATCATGAAGTCAACCGTTTCTTTTGAGCTCTACTGTTACTGAGCTTTGTAGAGGTGCCACATTTGTAGTTTTTAAGGACTATTTTGAAGGTTGATGTGGCTGGCTGTGGCGGCCCAGCTGTGTTTGGAGAGCTGTGACAATGCAGGGCAGGCAAGAGGAGACCTCCAGCCCCCGCAAGCTGTCCTGCTCTTTCTTTCACACCACGTTGCTTCACAGTTGTACACGCTGTCCTCGAAGAAACACAAAAGGTCAAACACTTGGCTCATGTTTTCAAAGGTCTTAGCTGGATCAACAGTTTTGACCAGCCTTTAGGGAAAGGGAAATGTGTGTTTATTAACACCTAGTCTGTGACAGAGGGAAATGTAATCTTGAGAAACTCTCAATCGATTTCATGGCATTTTGGAATGGTCTAGTTGTACGTGTGCATGATAAACTGAAGCTTAGGTATTTCTGAACTCCAGCTGTTCCCTCAGTTGCCCTGCAGTTATGTTTTCTTGCGTTACATCTACAGTAGAGTAGCCGAGAGTTCAGTTTGTGTTTTGTGACCAGGCAATGCTTCATTAGTACTCTAGTTCTTTTTTCTTTCTTTTAAAGTACAGTAATATGTCTCCCTCAGTTATCTTTATTTGGAAGGTCAGCTGCTTTCCTGTGTTCCTGTCTAAAACCAAATATTTCTCTCAGTTATCACGGACGTATCGGTAGGATGAACAGTAATACCTGTAGGGATCCTTCCTTCCCATACTCTCCTACCTACACAAACTTAAGGTTAGTTTATCCCCAGAGCAGGAGAGGATGGGGCTGCACTCTACCCATGCAGCAGCGCAACTCAAGTAGACGTTTCTTGCCTGACACGCCGTTTGTGGCACGCTGACCTTTCTTTCCTTCCGATAAGTCAGCTTGTAGCCACAGAGCCAATATCCAAAGCCCTCCCAACTTTCCGTGGCTCAAAAGCCTGTGTGCATGCTGCCAGGCTAGACTGTCAGCATTGCTGGATTTATTGGTTTGTACTGCTTTGTGTCATGATGACCTGACTTGAACAGAGGGTTTGCTTTTAATTTAATTCTCTTTTCCCCCTTGGAAAATAAAAGGAAAAAAAAGTCATATTTTAGGTGTTTTTTATCTTAAAATTTATGATTTTTTTTTCACAATGAATGCTATTCATTTATTAGATTGATGTTGTTTGCATGCGGGATGGTGCTGTAGCTTTTCAGATGCTTGAACAGAAACATGCAATAAAAGGTGACTGCATGGATAATAATAACTAAGTTAAAATTTAGCTGGCTGTTTACCTTAAAGAGAAAATAATCCTCAGAAAATAATCCTTCAGTGCTGTTGGAACTGATGCAGCAGTTGCATAAGTTCAAGTACATGAGCAGTGCTGCTCCCTTGATGTATTTTTTCACTAACATTTAGGCATTTTTTTCCTGGGTTGGGCTCGGAGTGCTCTGTACAAGGTATTTACAGAATATAAAGGGCATCAAGGAGTGGTGAGCTTTCATTTAATTCTAGTTTATCATTATAAACTGGCAACATTTCAGTTTCTTGCCAGTGTGGGGTGTGCTTATTATAAAAATGCTATCACAAGTCTTTTAGCCATAGATCCTGTTTTTCTGACCATGAAAACTAAATGACCCTTTCACCTCTACAGGTATAATAGTTCCACCAATTTAGCACTCGGGCATATCGGTGAGGAAGTTCTCACAGTGTCATTTCAATAGTCTCACTCTATTGCGTTTTCCCACAGCTCAGTTTAAATATCCACCCAGCCAGTTTGGTA